ACATTTCCTGGTACTTGGTATGCAGCTATTGATTTGGAAAATGCCTTCTTCTCATGTCTATCCATAAGGGCCATCAAAAACTGTTTGTTTTCAGCTGGGAATACCAGAAACACACCTTAACTGTCATATCTCAGGTTTATATTAACTCTCTAGCCTTGTGTCACAACTTAGAGCGCTCTTGATTTGCTTTCTCTCCCAGAAGGTATTACATTGGTGCATTTTTGATATGGTGATTAGACCAAGTGAGTGGGAGGAAGCAACCACTCTGGAATTTTTAGAAAAGCATTTTTAAATCACAGAGTGGGAAATAAATTCAACTAAAACTTAAGGTCCTTCTAACTCAGTGAACTGTGTGGGAGTCCAGTGGTGTGAGGTTTCACTTCTAAGGTAAAAGATAAGTTGTTGTGTCTGGTTCTCCCTACCACAAAAAAGCACAATACCTAGTGGGCCTGTCTTTTTGAGAAAGTGTCTCTCTATGCAATTCATCCTGTGGTTTAGCTCACTTTGCCGCTCAGGTTCACCTTGAACTCACAGCAATACTCTTTTCTCAGGCTCCTGAGTGCTAGGATTACATGCATGTGCCAACACACCCAGCTAGTGGGTTTATTTGTATTTCATGGACAACATATTTCTCAGTTAGGTGTTTTGATGTAACGCATTTACTGAATGACTCAGAAAGCTGTTAGTGCCATTGGGGCCATATGATTCACCAGATTCAATTTTACTTGGGGTTCAGGGGCAGGTAGAGATGCTATTTGGAGTCTCGGGCAGGCCCATATATGTGAATTCAGTGGAGGCCTTCAGCATTTTGGAGCAAGGCTCTACCATCATCTACGTACAGCTCCCTTCCCTTAAAAAGAATTGGTCACCTGCTACTAAGCCTTTGTGGAAACTGAGCACTTGACCATGGGACACCAGGTTACCATATGACTTGAGTTGCCCATGGTAACTTGGGTATTATATGATCCACCAAGTCATAAATTTGGACGTACACAGTAAAATTTCATCAATAAATAGAAATAATATATACATGAACAAGTCAGAGCAGGTCCAGCAGGAAAAATAAGTTACATGAAGAAATTGCCCATGGCTCTTACTCCTGATCTATTGCCTTCTATCTCCCATCATGTGCCTATGACCTCACTGGGGTGTACCATACGATTAGCTGTCAGAGGAGGACAAGGTTAGGTCTAGTTTTCAAATGGCTTGGCTTGTTATGCAGGTACCGCCCACAAGTAGGTGCAGTGTTACACCCCTTTTCCAGGACATTCATGAAGGACGGTGTTGAAGCAAAATCTTCACAGTGGGCAGAACTTCAGGTAATGCACCTGGCCAGATGTGTGATTGTACTGATTCATGGGCTGTAGCCAATGGTCTAGGTGGATGGTCATGAACTTGGAAAAAACATGATT